CGGGCCGGTACGGCCCTTAAAAAAAGCAAAAGAAATGACCCGGCCCGGCGGGACCAACAAAAAAAACCCGTGACCCTTAACCGGACCGGATTGGCCGCGGTCCGGTTCTCGCCCGTGGCCATGTCTGACATTAGCTTTAGGAATTGTTGATCCTTTAAGAATTTCAGAGTATCATCATATCGAATTGACTGCAAATGACAACTAAATTTAAAGCTACGTACGTACATCTTAAAAAGAACTACAATTTCATTTCCAGAAACAGAAATAAATTCTAATAGTATATTAGTATAAATTAACCTCCAAATCATGGGTTTTGTCATTTCAATTTTCATCATTCAAGATTTGAAGTCTTATTCCAAAAAAAAAAAAAAAATAAAAAATGAATGCTTGCTATTTAAGTCAAAAAGCGAGAAAAATGAGTCATATGATGTTGTTGACTGTTGTTATTTTCAAGGGTTTTCATATGATGCTGTTTGGGACTCGACTCAGGGAATTACGTGATCGATCACAACCTTTAGCTAATAAACCCACGATCTCACATATAAATTTACTATTATAATTTGGGTAAAAATATATTTAGATTAAATATAAAGTAGTATGTTACTAGATAGTAGATAATATTGTATTTGTCAACTAATAATTAAGTGCATAAACTGACTGAGATTTCAAAGTAGTTTAAACTAAACCACCTGCACAATTACGTACTAATGGTAATTCTATAAAAAAATCTACTTGCGTAAAGTTTGAGTAAACACGGCCACGGGCATTGTCTTAGCCTGCTAATTATTTATTTATGCACTTTAATTCTTTGCTTTTATATATGCTGTTTGGAAAGGGTGCAAAGAAAATTATATTTTGGGGCCAACATGATGAAATCACCATGATAAATATTACAATATATTAATTGCCGAAAGAAAATCAGGTTATATAAAATATCACTAGCTCGAGACAAGTCAAAAAAAAAAAAGTAAATATATAAATGAATAAATAAACAAAGCATGTGCTTAACAATCAAGTAAACGCATCCTTAAAACAAAGCACTCATCATCACCCGCACTATAAACGTTTAAACAGGCGTTATTCGAACCGAATTGTTCGCTAACATAGTTCAATTCAATTTGCTACAACTCAAAGTGGATTCGCTTGTGTATTTTAAACCAATCAGGCTCAAACAACTACTATAGTTCGTGTGTCAAATAAGTAGAGGCGAACATATACTCAATCAACTCGGGTAGAATTTTAGGCATTAGTCTACCTATACGTTTTATATTAAATAAGTCGAACTGAGTTTTGACGAGTAAAATTTGAGCTCGTTTTTGTTTGTTTATTAAACGAGTCGAGCCACGCCAACATGTTTATTAAATGAACACGAATTCAAAAGTGAAAATATCCAAATCAAATTATGAAAATAATTAATTTTTTAATATTTAACATATAATTTACATGAATCGCACGGTAAATATTATTAAAAGTTGTATTTAACATATTATTATTATACTTGTAGTTGTATTTTATATGGAGAAGACCATTCTTTAACAAAATTTGTAAATTATTAACAATTATTTTATACATATGACAAATAGTCATAAAAAAAATTATTATGAAATGGTGCATGCAATAGTGCCGTTAGGGTTCTATTAAAGTAATGAATCAACGTGATTTCAATATAATTTAAAAAAAGACTACCGTCCCGTCAGGATTGTTTCGTAAGAGATTTTAGACATAGATTATTTAAAATAACTAACTCACATGTATATCTATAGGCTAAAATCTCTCACTGGACGGGATTGTAGTATTTTCCATTTAATTTATTGTCATATATAAAAAAGGTACGTTATACTTATGGGAAATGCTACAGTCCCGTTACGGAACCATTCTGTCGGGATTTGTAACCGTTAGATCATCATGTAACCGTCGTGGATATTTGATCTAACGGTTACAAATATCGGTGGAATGGTTCCGTAGACGTAGAATCTCCCAATACTTATACCCTTAATTTTCTTCTTTCATTTAAATTAGCTGATGTGAAATATTCTGTGAATTTTGACGTGTATCATTGGGATAATCCTAGATTTAGTAAGGCATGTATATTCTTTTAAGAATATCTTTTGAATTTTTGATACAAAATAAGCACACTAAAATACAGAGTCTGCTGGTCAGTGATACTTGACGTATACTCTACATCCCATGCGTGAAAATGATGCTTCTTTGTAACTTCAAATACCAAATATCAGTGTTTTGTGACCCGGACCGGCCCGGCGGGTCGACCCGGGACCCGGTCGACCCGGAGCCGGAACCGGTCCGGGTGGGTTAATTGGACCGGGCAACAACGGACCCGGTCAAACCCGGTCAAAACCCGGTCGACCCGGCCTTGACCCGGTCGACCCGGGGCATTGACCCGGCTGGGTCAACCCGATTGACCCGGTCTATATGTATTTTTTATTTTTTTTTTTGTTTTTTAATTTTCTTTTTTTTTTTAAAATAAAATTATGTATATATATTTATATGATAAATATATACATATTATTACCACTTTAATCTACAAATTTTACATACAAAATATTTAAATTTGTTATTTTTATATATATTTATATATCACAAAATACTCTATATATAATTTTATAAATTTTAAAATTAATTATTCGGTTCAGCAATTGACCCGGCGACCCGACGGTTGAACCGGTGACCCGGTGACCCGAAGACCTCCCCGGGTCGATTACCGGGTCGGGTTTAAAAACTATGCCAAATATACAAAAATTCAAACAAAAAAAGAGACAGAAAGATGAAA